CCCTCCCCCCCCCCCCCCCCTGCAAAAAAGTTACTCTTATTTCTTTGATAGGCAGCTTAGTATTTAAACTTTCTACCACTGGATAAACTTTTTAGTAAATGTTGATGGCCATCAATCATTCATGTCTTTTTAGTTGTATTGTGCTATGTGCAGCTGTTGATCTAGCTAATAATGTGTAACAATCTGCTAAAAAGGTGCTGTGGATTATGTGGCTTTTACTCCCATGTGTTTCAACGAAAAGCTAAAACGATCGGTTTATTAGGGACACCTAGCAAAAACTAATGTAGCCAGATGTAATAGTCCTGCTATCCTCCCTTTATGAAGGTGGTAATATTCAGGTTTTCTTCAAGCTGTTTCAGATGGGTGTTGATTCAGCTGTGTGATCATTTTGGCAGCTGTGCTGTTGTTAAACTGTGTTGCATTAAACAGAAGGGTATTTCTGTTATTGAACTTAGCCTGAGATGTAAATTCAGTTCAGTTAAATTTTATTTATATAGTACCTAATCAAGACAAAAGTCACCTCAGGGCACTTTACACAGTAAGGTCTAGACCGTACTCTTATTATTATGACAGAAGAAAAACCTAACGGCGTGGAGGAGAAACTCCCTTTAACAGAAGAAACCTCAGACAGACCCCGACTCTTGGTGGGCGGCCTTCTGCCTCGACTGTTTGGGGTGAGTGGATAGAGGAGAGAGAAAAGAAGAAAAGCAACGAGACACAACAAACAATTAAACAATGGTCAGGTTGATGTGGCCGGTGACTGCTCATCAGAGACAGAGCGCCAGAGCCAGGGTAACCAGCAGAAAGGTACAGGGAGAGAGAGAGGAGACACAAAGTTAGTGATGTGTAATGGTGGCATATAGATGTGAGGAGAGGAGCTCAGAGCATCCTGGGACAACCCTCAGCCTAGGCTTATAGCAGCATAACTAAGGGAAGGAGAAAATAACAGAAATATCTGCCAGTATAACGCAGCACAATTCAACAACAGCACAGATGTAAAAATAGTCACACAGCTGAACCAACACCTCCCTGAAACAGTTTGAACAAAGCCACCGTCACCTTCATGAAGGATTTATCGCATTAGTTTTTGCTAAGTGTACCAAATAAACTGCCAGCTAAGTGTATCAGCAGAACCTTCACTGCCAACTTAGTGTTTCATTAATTTCCACTACAGCATTCAATCATTGCAACTCAAGCATGATTGATGTTATTTATGGTCAACCACTTGGTTAAGATCATGGCAACACTGTTGTCTTGTTTTAGCTTAAAAACTATCAAGACAGAATCTGTGCAGTTTAAATAACCCCCATCTCTGGTGTCCAAAGTTTGTGCTTATACCTACCATTTACCCCAACCAGCCCTTCTATGAAATCTGTGTTTATAAGATCATAAAGCGTCCTGAATTGTAGAACCTTGTACATAAATATGCAGTAATTACATTTTCTTTTAAACATACTGTGTTTGGCAAAACCATTTGGTAGTTTATACATCTGATTTCAACAGGTCCTAGCCATTTAGACTAAGTAGTAACAAAAACACATATGAATATGAAATATGAAAAAAATAACTTTAGCAACACTGACTTCCTGAAAGAGTCTGCTTTTTATACTTGAAAGCACCAAAGATTGACATAAGGTGCGCTTACTAGCTTTCAGCCCGTTTTCTTTACGTACATCTTATATCCTGCCTTCATTGTATATGAAGTTTTTAGGTGCTTTTATTTTGGAATTCCTGTGTTAGAGGTCCTTTAGAGGCTGCCCATTCATGTCTCCTGGATGAATAACAGATATTCAGCCATCCTAAATGTATATCTTAAAGGCTGTATATGCCTGTATTTCCTGTTCTGTACAACACCATAAAAAGAACAGACCTTTCCAGTTCATTAGTTACTGTTATGTTTTTAAGTAAGTGGTTTTTTTTTCACAAATACAAACAAAATTGCAGTCTCCAAAGTGGATTAATCAGATGAAAGTGAAAGCAATGCAAGGTGGAGAGTACTCAGCCTGAAAGCTGTGGGTACACGTCTTGAAAGTGCCGGTGAATAGTACATTGAAATAGATTTTGTTACAACCAGAAATATGATTTCTTTTTTCAGTGATACCTGTATATGAATGAAACATCAAGGAACAATTCCAAGAGAGAGGATGATGAAATAGGACCCAGATCAAAGCTGTTTTTGTAGCATTCTTCTAAAGGCTACCCTTCCTGATTATGGGTCTGTGAGGAGAAGTCGAGGAATACTTAACAAAGCCTAATGACAGTTTGTTCACAATCCGGTTCCTTGAATGTGGACCAAGTAGTTCATCAACAAAAAATAATAAAAAAAAAAGTTCAGAGATGATGATGGAAGGGAAAGAAGTGGCAATTTCTCTCTGTGTGTATCTCTCCTGCTCTTTCCTTTTCTCTCCACCTCTCTTTTCTTACCAAAAGCAGCCAGTGGCCAGAAAGGGGATCAAATTACATTCACCTTTTAGCTGCTCTCCTCTGCGCAATTAGCGTCACGCTTACTTGTCATTTCAAATTGACACACTGCTGTTGTGCTGTGTAATTATTTACCTGGGGAATAGTTCTCTGGTTTACCTGCTAAATAATGACAAAACACACACGCACACACTCACTGACGTTTACACACTTCAAGACACAGAAGCACCTGTGGTCCTGTTTTATGTGAAACATGGTTAATATGCCTTTTTAGTTTTACAAGGGCACTGTCTGTGTGCTTACTAGTTGCCGTCTAATCAAAGGCATCTTTGTGTGTGTGTGTCTGTCTAAAACTGTCTAACTGACTTTAAAATGTTGTGTGCTTTCACTGCTTAAATGTCACAGTTAAAGGTTTGGGGGTTTGAGCATCAGGACCCAAACCCACTGCTTTTCCCATAGGTGTCCTCTTCTTTGCCTGTCCTTTTTTTAATTGTCTCTTTTTGTGCTCACTTGGTGGGAGGAAAAGGGCTGGGTCCTGTTCTTCAAACTGCAGAGATTTTATTACGCCACATCCTCCCCCCACTCCCTACACCACCCTCCCCCACCCCTCACCTACAGCCCACCACCCACCCAGCCAGCTGCCACAGAGGTTAGACTCAGGGAAGCAAGAGGGTATAAAGGCGAGAGAGCATAAATAATGGCAGCTGTTTTCCTCTGCAGGGGGAGAGAAGGAAATCACTTCCAAAAACAGTTTTCTTTGATCTTGTGTCTTTTCTTGTGATAAATCTGTGTCTGTGATGCCTTTTGTTTTTGCTTTTATACTCTTTTTAAGAAAAAGGAAAACAATGAGCAAACATGAACTCTTGCTGATTTGTCCTTTTTGCTCTTGCTTCTTTTCTTTTTTTGATATTCTTTTTTTTTCCGTTTTTGCCAGTAATCTTTTTTGAATTTTCTCTTTTCTCTTTTTCCCCCCTTTTTTTCTTAACCCTAGGTCCGCTCACAAAAAAACACGATGAATCTTCAATGAACAAGCCTCGAGACGAAGGTATTTTTGTTGCATGTTTTTCCTTTTTTCTTGTTTTGAAGTCTTTTTGGGGGATGTGTACACACACAGTAGAGTGGAAAACACACACAAAGGCAGACATTTGTTAGGTGGGACTTTGGATATGAGATGCATACCAGTGTGTTGGTGTTAAGTGTATGTGCTGACTGTTACAATTAAAAAGCTGTCTTTTTTTATGCAAATCATCAGCCTTATGTAACCTTGGATGATCATAATGCCTGGCTAATGGAACCCAGATACCTTTAATCACAAAGCCAGCTACAGGCACTTGTGTGTGCTTTATCTCACTCTGAAGTAATAAGAGAGCCTCGAACATCATCATCACAACCACTGTGCCCTTGAAAATACATTGGCCAACTAACAACATTGTCTCTGAAACCAAACTGACATTGTTTCTGAAACTGTCGTCAGGATTTTGAGCAAGAAAGCATCTATTGAGACGGGCTTACACAATGAGGTGCATTATTGTTGCTCCTCAATCCCCAGCTCAGTGATGAAATTGTTTTTGAGAAAGGACCTATACAAATATTAAGCTAGCCCTATTCCAAGTCAATGATGATAACATCAAATAAAGTAAGGAAAAAAAATTGGGGACATCCAAGGACACTTGTGCACTGCTCTAGGAGATGTGGTGCTAATCGGCTGCTAGTGTGCGTCTCCCACCTGCAGCACATGCACTCCGGAGGTAATTTTATCTGCACTCTCATGTACCCCCCTCATCCCCCTTGTTCTTTTGTGCCTGTTTCTTCTAGAAAAAGATGATGTTTTGACATATTTCTCTTTATGCTGTTTTGAGATTTGTGCGGGTGCATCTTTTTTCTTGCTCCATGATGCTCTTTGATTTGGGGTATTTTTTTCAAGTTGGGAGCCAGAGGGAGTTTGACATGAGGTGATCAAGCACACTGGCACAGACGCACCTTTTTGAGCTGCCAAAGCCAGCAAGCCCAGTCATGACCCCTGTCCTCCCCCCCTCCCCCCCCTCCCCTCCTCTAAATAAGTCTTTCACCCCTCATCACAACAGACAGTTAACTTCATTTGAATGGGAACTCCTAATTCCATCATAATTGCTGTTTTTTTCCACACTCTGGGATTTAATTCTAGTGGAGGAAAACTTGCTCCAGTATATTTTATTATACTGCCTGTAAGGGGTCACATTTTAAGTCTCCCTCAACTCAAAACTGTGCTTTTTTTTTGTCACTAGACTTCGATGTTTGACCTTTACTGTGCGGAGTTGGACACTAGAAAGCTGTTTTCACAATCCATCTGTTTAAGGGGAGAAAATTCCTCTGTGCTCACCTTGAATTTCAGTTTAAGTTGTGTAATTTTATTTATTTGAGGCCAATCAATATGACACACTTGTGAAACTGA